GCAGTTTAGCTAAGTTTAATTGCATATGTGAATCTGAGAACAGAACTGTATCTGCAGAGATTATTTGTCAAAGGCAGGCAGTGTTTTCCTTTCGTGTGCAAAGCTCAAGTCTGATTGTGTGAGCCCCTGATTGAGTGGCTTGGATAGAGATCAAAGTCCTTCATCAGACCCACAATGCTGTGCGCATAGCCTCCATCCTCCCATTTTGGTCCTGTTTTGCAGGCTGCTTCCTCATGCTCTCTCTCTTCTTTCTTCTCCGTGGATGTGTCTCATCCCGTCACACCGTAGGACACGTTGAAAGGCTCCTTCTGCTGCACTGTGCTTCCTTGACTGTTCCTTTGAGCCTGTGTCTTCCGGAAGCTTCCCCTGACTGCTACCCTTTGACCCTTATGGCATCACAGTTCTTTCTTAGATCTCAGCGCAGGTGAAATTTTACAGATATTCATGTGATCTAGTACTCAAATAATTTGAGCAATCAGTTAAAGCCTATAAACTCCTTGACTCATAGTTGGGTTAGGTGACAAACAAACTAGTTTCTGTAGTAGATATACCTGGAAAGACAGATTTATGAATATTCTTAGAATTTAGTTGTGTAGAGTTATAAACTCTGCCAGTGCCTAGAGGAATCCAGAGTGCACATTAAAAGTATACACTTAATTTTGGTTACCTAATTACCCTGGCTGGGTACATAAGAGACTCTGTTGGAACTCTGGGAAACATTGAAGAAAATTATGTAATAGTATAAAATTTAAATCACCTTCTTATATTTTAAAAAGGAGAGTGACATCCAAAGAGATTTCTCTAGATTTTATTCTCTTTTTTAAGTTTAGAATATTTAAAGGAAACCAATGACTCTATCCTTACTACTGAAACAAATCTGTACATTTAGATTGGCAGAATATTTTATGGTATGGTTAGAACTGGGCTCAGAAGAGACTGTGACCCTTGCACATTTGATGAATTTATTTTCTTAATTTCCTTTTCAAAGCTATACATCTTTCCTGGAGCATTGGAACTCTGAATCATGGAAGAAAGTAAATTGATTCTGTATTCTTCAACCCTACAATTTGGCAGCGAGAATATTTTTTTCCTAAAAATGACTCATTTACAAAGAGACTTTGTGTGAACATGGAAAAGACTTACATACTCTCAGAAATCTTGCAGTTGGGGGTAGGGTGGGTATCTGGGCCTGCTAATAATTGCGAAATGGCAAAATTAATGTTGAACAGGATTAGTTGGTCAATGATCATGTGAAAGTTACAGTTCTACAAGAAAAGACAGACATTTGTATATTCAGAAAAAGAAAAACTCAGTAAGCTATATAAAAACCTTATCATTTTTCCCGTTTCAGGGCATTTTTCTTGTTTTAATGTACCCTGCTATGAGTCAACCAATGTTTTATTTTTTGCTCCTCTCGGAAAGTGTTCTGTGTTGTAATATTCCTCCCTGTTAACCTTTATTTTCCTGATTTTTAGTCCAAAATTTGTTGTTCTGAATTTCATCCAATTTCCTCTGGTGATTTGCCCTGGGATCTCCCAGCTTGAATGTGGTTTTGGTTTTTCTTTATTTTGTTGCTAATCACGCTTCCTCTAGCTTCTAAAATAATCATTGAATATCCTGATACAACTAAGTTTTCAAGAATGCATCTCATTGTATGTTAAGAAAACAACAACAAGCTGGTTCTTATAGTGTGGGAAGCATTGATTATTCCTGTATTGCAGTTCTTCTAAAGACAAAGCAAACAGGGCCATTAAAAAAATACACAGAGAACTTGTTCACACGTTCAGCATTAGATCTGTATGCATTCTGAAGAAAGGTTGTCATGATGTCATGCCCAGCCATGCCATTCTTCATGCTCTAACGGTGGCCATTAAGACTACAAAATAACATTCTGCAGAAGTGCTCTCATGGCTTTGCACGATAGTCACTGAGTCTGAAGACAAGAAAGAAGCTCACCTTTACTGAGTTCCTTATGCCTGCCAGACTTTTTCACCTGTGAGTCCATTTGTTTCTTTTCAGAAGCAAAGTGGGTATTATTATCCTAGTTTATGGTGAGAAACTGAGGCTTAAGCAGGCAAAATGACTTAGCCGAAGTCCCACAGAAAGTCAAGGGAGGAGGAAAAATTCAGCCCCAGGTCTTTTCCAATTTCAAAATTCATTGCCTTTCCACTTCACTGTGTTGCCTCACAGGATTTGGGGATGTGATGAGTCTGCCTGAGGTCACATTATAAGTCAGAGGTGAGCTGGGAACATTGTTTGGGGCAGCTCCACATTGCTTTAATCCATTAAAATATGATGTGTCCTCTCTAACAAATGCAACACGTTCACTTATTTCTTCTTCGAAGGGGAGAGATGGCATGGCAGCTTTTTTTTTTCTTCTGCGTATGCGGGCCTCTCACTGCCGCGGCCTCTCCCGTCGCGGAGCACAGGCTCCGGGCGCGCAGGCTCAGCGGCCGTGGCTCACGCGGGCCCAGCCGCTCCGCGGCATGTTGGATCCTCCCGGACCGGGGCACAAACCCGTGTCCCCTGCATCAGCAGGCGGACTCACAACCACTGCGCCACCAGGGAAGCCCGGTATGGGAGCTTTTGATCTTCTACAAAAGATTAACTTTCTGAAAAAAAAAGTAATAAAGCAGCTATGACATTTGGCTTAACTTTTGAAAAAAATGTGAAAGAAAATAATTCATTAAATGTGAACTTTGCTGGTGACCAGCCATTTTGATACATAGTAACTTTCTTTTGAGGAATTTTATGAACATTCCTTTCCTCTGGGTCTTCAGAATTCTAACCAACTTAAAACCAGTCTGGCAAATGGACTCCCTTGAATCCGATGAATTGTTCTAGAATCCTAAGATTGGATGTGCTATGATGCGTTTTCTGATAAGAAGGTATTTCCACCTGCTCTGTCAACTTACTAGTTATGCAACTTTTGGCAAGTTCTCAGTTTCCTCATCTGCAAATGGGGATAATGTAGAACCTACATTAAAGGGTGGCTATGAGGATTAAGTGAATTAACATATATGAAATACGTAGTCTGGAACATGATAAATACTATATAAATCATTGTTACTATTATTTATTCCAGTTACAATAGCATGTTTCAAGTCATGTCAGACTATCCAGAGGGTGCACATGGGTTTTGAAGGATCTAAAGAACATCCTAGGAGGTGGCATTTATAAGTAACCTGGTTCTGTGTAGGCATCTGCTAGCAGTGACAGCTGAAATACAATTCTAGGCCCATCTGATTCCAGAGTGAAGGAGATTCAGTGATAACTAGACTGGCAGAGATACCAGGCTGAACAAACTGTGTAGCTTGACTTTCTTCTTTCTCCTCACTGATCTTGAGAACATGAGCCACGCCAGTATTACTAACAGTTTCAATTTGCCACCGGAAGCAGCTCAAGCAAATGTGATTCCTTGGGGAAAGAGAGTTTTTTCACACTTGCGTGCAGCATGGATGACTTGGAAGTGAATTCTTCCGACGTTTGATTAACAAAATATGTAGCAGATGCTCTGTTCAATGCTAGAGATATAGAAATAAATGATACCTGGTCCCTAATCTCAAGGGAGCATAATCCAGTGACACAGAGACAGTGCCAGCCCAGAGAGCAGATGATGAGTTTGAAAATTACAGGTAGTTTTGTATGGAGTATGAAGAGGTTGGTTATGAGACTCGTTCACAGTGAAGTAAAATGTTTAAGGATGGGGCCAATGGACTTGAGAAATATTTGAGTTTGAGGAATACAGGAGAAAACATAATTCTGTGAACAACTGAATGGGGAAAGGCTGGTGGTTGGTTATGGAAATTATATAGTCATCCTCATTCTGGGAGTAGCTGAGAGCATTTTATAAAAGGAGAACTTCAAGTGCATATAAAAGGAGAAAAACAATAATCTAAGACTGATCTTTCTGGGACAACCATTAGTATTGCTATTATTGTTAGTATAGCTAGCAAAGAATAGTAAGAGGAATATTTGAAAATGGGACTGGAAAAGCAGGGAATTCTGATGTTTCTGAAATTACAGCTAAAAATGTACTGACAAGTGATTGGGTGAGTACAAAGATCCATGCAGACACCCATGAATAGCCACATGGAAATGAAGGTTTTAGATTCAAGAATGAAGATGCTATTGGAAACATTAATGAGATTTGTGTAAATAACTCTTGACAACAGAATACTGTACCCAAACAGTAAGATCTGAGGAAGATGGGATGTGAATAAGAGAAGTAAATGTTTGCAGGTGCCAAGTGGTCCAAGTCAACCCTACATTGACCCTGGTAAACCTAGATAAATGTTGAGGGACTGCAAGTTTGTTTTGGAGTTTAGTTGCCCTGTGCTGAGTGAAGATTGAATATTATGCCTCTGTCTGAAAAAGTTGTGCTGTTTTACCAAAGCTCCAGATTCTGGAGGGATGTGTAGGAAGAAGTGGAGATGAAAGTGACCTCAGCAGATGGCTCAGCCGTGGAAGGTGTGGGGACATGTCACAGCCATGTTCGGGGGGTAAACTTTCTAAAATGGGCAAACCAAAGGCTGTTATAGACTTACCTTGAAGAATAATATTCATCCAGGTGTAGTTTATTCCAGAGGTTAACTTGGATGGCCATAATCAGGTAGTTTAAAAATGTATTACGTTTGTTTAATCCTCCAATCCTAGATGTTTTTCCTTTGAATACATTGAATATGTTTCTAATGTGCAGAACATTTCTCCAGGAACTGTGAACATTGGCTCTCTATCTCCCTCCCAGAGCCTTCCTTTTAATCAAAGCATTTCTGGATAATTTTATTGAGTTAGAGATATTTCAGACCTTTTTTCCTAAAGACTGAAGGTTGTGAATTCGTTACTAAGCATTTTGCCACTTTGTTATTTTGGTTTCTTAAACAGTCACGAAGTGAAGTCATAAGGTGTGAGAAATGTGAGAAGGAATGAATTCTGAAATGGAGGGCTGCTCTGTGTAAATATGATGAAATATTAATTGCTTCTTGTTTCCTCTTCTTCAGGGATATCAGGGAATGGCAGGATCACCAGGTGTTCCAGGATCCCCAGGAATACAAGTATGTGATCTGTATATACATATTTTAGAAATACCATTTCTAGTGAACCAAAACACATAACTAACAGAATTTTATTTTGTGGTTAATTTAGGGAGCACGAGGACTACCAGGTTATAAAGGAGAATTGGGGAGAGATGGAGAAAAGGTAAATACGTACAAGCAAAGGTGTGTTCAGTTGTTTTAGTCACTCAAAGACAAAGGATGCAATCTGTGATGACTCCCATTCAATAGTGTTCGTCTTGGTGAATTCCAAGATGTCAGCTCAGAAATGTGTCAGTGGCCGTTGGCTGATCAAGCTCACAGGAGGCTTTTATCACTAGATCAAAGTGGTTATCACTAGATGACCACTGTCAGATGGCACAGGTATTGGCATTGCGCTGGTACCACGTTCCTTCTCTGTGATTAAGCTCTGTAGGGAGCTACCTTCTTAGAGGGAAGAGCATTATGTGAATGGAGTGTGTTCCCGTGTTAGCCGCAGACAGCCATATGTCCATCTCCACAGCAGAAATCTATCTTAGCCTTACTGGACTTCTTTCTCTTGTAAGGATTCAGTGGGTACAGACAACATTTGTCTGATTTCCTTTTGTACAGCTCTGAGATTTGCCATGTTCTTTAAATATGTTCAATATTTTAGTACCTCCCCAGGGATCTAGTCCTGCATCCAGGTAGCTGGTCCACATCCAAGATGCCCATTGGAATTTGCTCAAATCCCCATGATGATTTGTTAGCTTAATTCCTAAAGCACAGTCTTATTTCTACGTTCTTTGAAGGCCTTCTGTTTGCTCTTGATAAAAACCTGAACTAATTTTCTAGCTCCAATCCTTGCAAAATGATTGCCTTTTAAAAATAGTGTGCACAGCATTCACACTTGAGAAACGCTGATCTGGGCTCCATCTATTTTATGTTTTTATGGTTGCTTATGCTGGTTATAGATAATTGTAGCTGCTCAAGTACCATCTCTGGATGGACCCCTGGAAGATCTCATGATAGGTCTACTGCTTTCAAACTGTTTGATCTTGGCACGTGACTTGATATCTTTGAATCTTATTTTCTACATTGACTCAGTGGGGATTTCTTTATAGATTTGTTGTAAGGATTAAATGCAATAATATATGAAAAATACTTAGTGTGGTCCCTGGTACAGGGTTTTCCTTAAATAAATGCCTGTTGTTTTGTTGTTCTGTTTTGCTTATCAAGGAGCGAGGTTGTGGTTGGGATGTCACATGGGGTGGGCTGGCATGTGTCATGGACAAGAAATGTCAGAGCAAACAGAAGGGTTAGTGTCTGGAAAAGAAACAGAGAAGATGGAATAGGTCAGGACATCTCTATAATGTGGGGAGAGCCAGGGAAGGCAGAACAACAGCAATAATTGATAGAACTCTGGAAGAAGTGGTACAAAATCCTCTTTTCTCCTCAATGGCCCTGGGCCTCTATGAATCTTTTTAGCCACTGGCAATCTCTGCCTATTTAAAATGATGGAGGTGTACCTTAAGAGGTGCTGGAGAGCAGGCCAGGCCCACAGGAATGCAGATGTCTTATATTTGTATGCTCTGGGGGTATCATGAGAGACCTCCAACCTCCTCTAGGAGAATGGGGGATTCCACTAGGAAGGTGTGGATACCTGTTCCTAGGAGACCACATACCAGGCACCTCACCCACATTCTAGTCTACAAGATTGTTGCTGTTTCTTTAACATTCTCACAAGTAGCCTGATGTGGGGAATTTATAAAAGTATGCATGTATGAATAAGTGTATTTAGGAATGGATGGATGAATACATATATTTGTTTTTGTGTTTGTTTTTGTGTTGACATGGGTTTTAGAGACCCAAAATAAAAAGGAGGCTTTTTATTCATTTATCTTGAAAGAATTGGAGTAAAATACCTTATTTAAAAGTAAAGAACAATAATCTGTGAAATAGAAGCAGACGCATAGACATAGAACAGACTTGTGGTTGCCAAGGGAGAGAGGGATGGATTGGGAGTTTGGGATTAGCAGATGCAAACTATTACATATAGGATGGATAAACAGCAAGGTCCTACTGAATAGCACAGGGAACTATATTCAATATCCTGTGATAAACCAAACTGAAAAGAATATGAAAAAGAAGTATATATATATAAAATCACTTTGACATACACCAGAATCTAACACAACATTGTAAATCAGCTATACTTCAATAAAACAAAAAGTTTTTAAAAAGAACAACACTTCTATTAGTCACATCTTAAGGTAACTGCTCTATTGTTTTGGGTCATTGCACTGTGTTTAAAATAGAAGTGGGTGACTTTTACAAAGCCACACATTCTGTTAAAGAAGATAAGATGAATAAGATGTATGTTTATGCAAAGTTCTTTGTTTTCAGACCAGTAGTGATTTCATTCAGTGTTGTTTTCTGAAGTTCATTGTTTGGGTGTCAGCTCTGATTGACACAGTCATTGTGGGCCTAAAATCACCACGTGCTGCCTCTAAATTCCCTCCTTACATTCCTTCTGGCTGCAGGGATTTCTTTATTTAGAGCTACAATAATTTAGTGAGTTAGTTAAAGGCATTTCCTTGGGTGTTCCTCTAGAATACAATTTGTTAATTTTCAGAAATGGGAAGGTTGAAAACATACCCTGGAGATGGCCTTGACTTGTGATTGCTCAGGGCATTTTTTCCAGGCATCACCCATGGCCTTTATGGGATTGTTCCATATGGTAATGTTCTCTGTTAGGATATTTTCCCAGAATAATTTCCATTTTGTGGATTTGCACTGAAACTCCCATAGGAGTTTCCACTTAAGATAATTAAAATTATATTCACTTTCTTGCTGACTGTAACCTTTGTTTCTCACATATCAGAAAATAGAATGTGTATAGATTTTACATGGGTTTTTTTTCCCCTGAACTTACAAAGTTAAAAGGACCCTTTATCCACCAAATTGTCTTCAATTGGTAACTCATTTTATAACATGCTTTAAAGATATTCCTTGGACTCTAAGAAATACTTTAAGTGCTTCAAAGAACTTCCTCAGCTTTAAGGAAACCTAATATATTTAACTTGTGTGGAGAAATATATTTTGTTAAAACTTACATTAAGCTGGGTTGATTTTTATGGGTTTTATGGGTTTTCTAATTGAGTATTTCTAATTGGTTATATGGGTTTTGTAATTGAGTATGAAACTTTCTATGGCAATGCAATTCTGGAGACACAGGAAGTATTAATAATTTTTTTAATCTAGCCAGATTTGTACCAACTCATCACTTGGTTTCTCTGGGTTTAAGAAATAAAATATATTAATTCTATCTAAGGTATCCTTATGGAACCAATTATGCATTTTGTTTAGTTTCTTCATTAGAGTGTTAAACATTTGAACTGTCCTTTCAAGATCTCACTGTCCCGTTGCTCTCAGCATCCAGAACAGAGTATCATGTAATGAGCGAGCCTTTCTTACATGAATAAACCCCATTATCTGCACTTTGAAAGGCAAAAGCTGAAGTGATGTTATAGCGATATCTATTACATAGTTGGTCATAATCAAGGAACTCCAATATATATGTTGAGAGAACAGTAATAAAGGACCAAGCTGAAAAGGGTTATTAGGGAATAATATGTAAAGAATTTAACGTGCTAGTGGCTTTATCTCTTGCAGAGTTCCTGAAGACAAAAAAAAGTTAAAAAAATTAAAACAAAGCCAGTAATGACATAAGAGGGAGAAATAGAACTAACTTAGGAAAGTGGCCATCTTTCTCTTATTTCTCGAATAGAGAGAGTAATCTACCCGTGTAGCTTTCTGATAGCACCATGACCCAAACACGGGGTTATGTGTGTGTGTTTTGCAGGATGGGGAGGCTTAATGCAGTGACAGATTCCAGGCTGTGCCCTGATTTCAGACTGCTTAACCTTCCTAGTCATACTTCTTAATCTCTTTAAACCTGGTTTCCCAAATCTAGAAAGTGGGACTATAAGTATTTCTTCATAGCCTTGCTGTAAAGACTAAATAAAATCATGCATGTACCTGGCCAAAATTAAACACTGTAAGTTAGTGATGATGATGATGATGACGACGACGATGATGATGATGATGGTGGTTTGTAAATGTTTCTGAAAATATCTTTCGTTTATCCCTTATTGTTTCTCACAGTGTTGAAGTGCCCCTTATGAAGCAATCAGACAGGAATTCCCTAAACCTCTTCCCACCCCACTTACCCTCTTTGCTGTGTGTGTACCTATACTCTACCGTCTCTTCTGTTAATATGGATGAACTGTCCATGTATAATGTCCAGCCCTCCTCTGTGCTCTGGGTCTCATCCTTCTCCATTACTTTGTGTTATTCATTAGCCCCTCTCTTCTGTGTCACTAGTTTTTTCTTTCTTTTTTAAAAAATTAATTTTATTCCTGTCCTAAAGACGCAGATGTAGAGAATGGACTTGAGGACACGGGGAGGGGGAAGGGTAAGCTGGGATGAAGTGAGAGAGTGGCATGGACATATATACACTACCAATGTAAAATAGATAGCTAGTGGGAAGCATCCACATAGAACAGGGAGATCAGCTCGGTGCTTTGTGACCACCTAGAGGGGTGGGGTAGGGAGGGTGGGAGGGAGACACAAGAGGGAGGAGATATGGGGATATATGTATATGTATAGCTGATTCACTTTGTTATACAGCAGAAACTAACACACCATTGAAAAGCAATTATACTCCAATAAAGATGTTAAAAAATTTATTTTATTGAAACATAGTTGATTTACAATGTTGTGTTAATTTTTGCTGTACAGCAAAGTGACTCAGTTATACACACACACACACATATATATACACACATACAGTCTTTCTCATATTCTTTTCCATTATGATTTATCACAAGGTATTCAATATATTCCCCTATGCTCTACAGTAGGACCTTGCTGTTTATCCATTCTCTGCATAATAGTTTGCAGCTGCTAATCCCAAACTCCCAACCCCTTCCTGCCCCACCCCCCTTGGCAACCACAAGTCTACTCTCTATGTCTGTGAGTCTGTTTCTGTTTCATAGATAAGTTCATTTGTGTCATATTTTAGATTCCACGTATAAGTGATATCATACGATATCTGTCTTTTTCTTTCTTACTTCACTTAGTATGATCATCTCTAGTGTTGCTGCAAATGGCATTATTTCATTC